AGCTCTTTGATAGGTCTCATGCTTCTTCATGAGCGGAAGGAGTTCCTTTGTGGACCAACCCTTGGCCTGGAAGTCGTCATAGTCTGAGGCCGAAGCGCGTGTGTACATCTAAAGGGGGGTTAGTCTCACGTAACTCGGTATTTGGTGTGTCCTTGCTTACCAAAAAGTTAATGCTAGAGCCACCTCCCAGGATGTGGGCGCATGGAACCACTGCCTTTCTTCCAGAAAGGTGCTTAGATGGACGAGCCTCATAGAAGGATGCCGTTTTCGAGTCCAGCTTCATGTTGCGGGGGTAAACCCCCGGCCTGTACACCCATGGGTTGTTGAGGTTGCTCTCTCCAGCTTCGATAAGGAGAACCTTGAGGTTGTGATCCAGATTCGCCAGACTGCGCAATGTCAGCACAGAGATCTCTCAAGGACGGGGATTGATTATGAAATGAAGGACATACCGTCCTGCCACCACACAACCACAACTACCACCTCCACACACGATAATATCGAATTCCTCAGGTAGAGAGTTCATATCTTGTTGTTTCTTCTGGTCCCGGCCGAAAATCTTTGAGAACATGTCGTGAAACCACTCTGAGGGGTGTAGGCTGCGTACTTATGCTTCATGATAAGCTGGGGGAGTGGGATCTACAAATATCTGAAGTGAGGGGAACCTACGCAGCTTCAGGTATCGAAACACCCCTATTCGGTTCCTCATGCGAAACCGCTAATAACGAGTCCTTGTTAGCGAATTAGACCTGCATCCAAGCTTAACGACCAGCTGCAGTCCCCCCCAACGACCCCTCCCTCCCGGTAACTAATTTGACAAGCCCGCCAACTCATTGTCGAAGTCATCTGATATCTGGCAATGCAACATTTCTGCATGCGTGCCTCCAGCCGAGAGTCTCTAGTCGGATAAGATGGGAAATCAAGCCCAGGAAAACCCCAGGAAAACCCAGCTGTCCAGTGAAGGTCTCATCCAACCAGATTTAGAATGACCAGGTTCGGCTCTCTCCATTGCCTTACGTTAATTGTTAAGTCTAGTCTATCCACATCACCAGACACTGCTTGTCCGTGGTAGTAGATCCACGGTTACCGGCTCGGATTATCATCCAGTAGAAGAAATTAAGAATGTTGTCGTTTAGCAGCGGTGTCTCGGTGAGGCTCGGGATGTTGGTCTTTACAGCCTTGTGGTCATCCTACCCCTGTTTAGTATGTTACCCCAGGTTCCGTTGCGTACACCTGTATGTCTATTGGTCACTAGCAGATGGAGCTCGTATGCAAGAGGATTACCAAAATGCGGGGGAAGCTCAAATACCCGTCAATCTATATGCAACCCCATACTTCCCCGCAGTCCTAGAGGAGGCGGATATTATACATACCTAGGTAAGTTCGTTTATATCGTTGAATCCTATGTATATCTATCCAAGAGCAGCACACTGCATACGTAGCTCACACCAATAGTCTCCGTGCCGTACCTTAGCGTTCATCGCTGGCTCCTTCGGCTGGCCCGACTGGTTCTATTTCCTAGGGTTGGCAGCTTCTTGTCCTCATCCTGTCCAAGTCCTTTCTCCATGCCAATCATTTCCCGAGGAATGGCAGTTGATCAAGAATCCGAGGCGCACTAACGGATACTAAAATATCTTACCCCTAAATCTCTACCTTAGACCTGTATAAGCCGAGACGAGGTCCTTTTTCCTGTTCGAGATCGAGTCGATTAGCAACGCGTAGCTGGGCACCTCAAAGTATTATGATATTGAACTGCCGACGAAACTGACACTGGACGATTCTCCCTGTGCTACTCGAGACGCAAAATTATCTTCTCGTTGCATTCCATTGCTGCACTCGACGGGGGTAATTGGAGAAACTGATCTTTCCGGCCAATTCGAGCCATGTGCCCTCCACCACCTTGGGTTCCAGAGCTAATATCAAGCCCTAGGTGGAGTTACACATGGCTTGAACGCTTCTGTGGGTGCTATGCAGCGAACCTATGAGACTGCAGGGAAGTCCGGATAGGTTTAAGTCTGTTCCGTGGCTTATGCCCCCGGATCGTCATCGTGATGAACACCTTTACTATGGGATAGTGGTCTCCCCTCACTCCTCACTCTCAGTCTAAGCCCCCTTGCTCCGCCTACTGCACAAAACAGATGATTATGAGTTAGTGAAGACCTGGCATGCCAAAATATTTACATAAATGTCAAACGTAATAAATAAGTGAAGTGTATTTTCATAGCGGGGGTGGTCCGTTCTCACGGCAGTTCTTTGAACTTACACGGCTGCATTCATACGAATTATAAGAGCACTGTCTGGAACCTCGAATATATGTTGGCTATGAAAAGCAGCATGACTTGCATATTAGGTCAACCAATCAATATATGCTTGAGATGTTGGCCCCCACACAGAGCTGAATTCGGATCATAACAACTCTGACGGTCGTAGTAGTAGATCTGCTGGCGCCTCGAGTTTATATGGGACATCTCTATAGGTTCCGTAGCCAGACGCCCGCAGATTATACCAATACCAGATAACCTTGCAAGCCCCTTTGACTGGTTACTCGTCGTCTCTTTCCCAACAGATAATACAAACATCCCCCGTATATACAAATAAGGTGGTGTATGCGTACGACCTCGGGTTATAATAACCATGCAGCTGGCTGTACGGTGACATAATATCCTAGAGGCCATGCAACTGCCGTTACACTTTTTTTAACCCGAGAACAACCCATGGAGCAGGGTCGATAAATGCGTTACACTAGGCCATTGACTTTATCCCGGTGATGTATCATGTCGAACAGTTGCTTATGGCTTTCCCCAGTAGGCAATCCTACAATCAATATGATATGCAAGTCTACTCTCCTGTCTAATCTAGTGTAGGGTCACGGCTTTGTCTTGGAGAAAACTCGGTATTATATGATCGAAGCTAGGATGTTATGATCGCCAAATGATGTTAGTTGCCTCCTCCATGCGTGGGAACAAATCCTTACCTGCCTATATCACATTAGTTGAGACTTGGTCAGTACTGGACCAGTCCCTTACTTCAAATAATGAGAAATTGGGGGTGATATACACGATTGCCTCGCATTGATACCATGAGCTTGTTAAACATATACGATTCAGCATTGAACTTCCTTACATTTCTTATATAATAATGAAATTTGGACAATATTATAAGAGCAATGCATGAGCTTGTAGCTAAACAAGAACCCAAGTAACGAGCTTGAGTTATATGAACAGTTTTTGATAATAATCAATACCATATAATAGATGGCCAAGAGCAAAACTTACGAGCAATGCCTATCAAGTAACTTCGGCTTCCTTACATTTTATATAATACATGGTATATTTGAACCGAAATTGAATCACCAATCAAATAAAACGACAAACTATAATTAGTTCAAAATAAACTACCATTCAATGTTAAGGAAAATGATTATCAAAACTATCCTTGTTAAGTGATGGTCTACTTGAAAGGTTGTAACTATATGTATAAAACGTAAAGGGCCTCAAGGTCGTAATTAGGAGGCAAAATTTAATGGTCCTCGCATTATACATATTTCTATATGCTGCTTGTTCACGTACGAAAACTGCTCGGAACAAAGCAGCCACAATCGCAAATTTTGAACCAATTGCAATATAAGTACCCCCATTAAAGTAAGGCAAACCGAACGTTGCAATAATGTCACATAAGATCGGTGAATGTCAAACACCGGGTATGGTTCCGAGAATGATGTCTTGAAGTGTTGCCAGGGTAAATCTTCTAGTAGAGATATAGTAACCTAAGGGTATCAATCAAGACCAAGGTGTTATACACCTCGGAAAATGGGAGGGCCAACGAGCTTTTACATATAGGTAACGAAGATAATTTACTGACAAGCTTATAATAACATATCTCAAGTTACCCCTATTTTTACCGCCAAAGGTTTCTCATTGATACCTGGTACCAGAAAACCGCACGACTGCCATCTGCGTATGTGTAGTAACTAGGCCATTCTAAAAAATATCGCCGCGCCGAATATTTAAGCTTCTTTCAAGCTTATCAAGAAAATAACTATTCTAACCTAATATTCTTAGATCGAATTCATCACTGTGAAGACATTAACTGGAAACCCTCCACGATAGATCTGGAGAAAGTATCTAACCTGACTGTCAACGTCGGCATTTTTTAAAGAACCCTCCAATTTGCGATAAGCCGCTATGACCATCTAGACCTAAGGTTATGGCCATGATGCGGACCATATAGTAGGGGGTGTAACTACGTTGTTGTGCAAGGGACTCTAAGCCTAGCGGCACTAGATAGCGGTATACATACATGAGCTCTCCTTGTCCACGGTGCCCCAGGTGCTTCAGGTGCATCTCTTCCTTTGGATGTATCCATTTACTCGGGCGTGCATGTACACGAAAGACTGGACCTCTGACAGTTGGTACTACCTTCACCACCTGGTTAGGAACTTAGGATAGTAGCCTCCGTAAGTAGATACGTCCTTGCTAGCAAAATCTAAAAGATAACAACACAATAGAGCTTCTCATCAAGCTCTCATTGGTTTAGTACATACATAAGATGTCGATGATACCAATACCGCCTGTATTTCAAATACTTGCAACGAGATAATGCAGCTTTGTGCCGAAGATCCTACCCCTAAGAACCAACAAGAGGTTTTCAACTTTCGTTCAATTTTGCGATTATCGCTATGAATTGATAGAAGTACGAAGTCGCTCTAGCTATATTCCCGCCATAATATGTTAGAAGATAAATATTTAAAGAATGTATTTCTCATAGGTAACGAGGTCTACAAAAGGGGTTGCTTGAGAGTTCATTAATAATGTATGGCTTATGCAAATATGTGGCAAAAGTGGCCCTTGCAACTAGCGGGGTAGGTACCTAAAATGCTGAAATCTTGGAATCCAGAGCTATTGGAGCCATGATTTCCTTGTGGGCTTCTCGTATAAACGGTTGTAGCAATGAAATTTTCATTGACAGCAAAGAGTTCTTCCTAGTTGTGGATCAATACAATGGCCCGACTAGCTCACCGGTAGAGCGCCTCACTAGTATATCGTCTTTGTAGCAAGAAGAATCCCTCTTTAGTAGTGGGGAAATGATTGCAATGAGGAGGCAACAGGTTCGACTCCTGTGTTGGGCATTTTCTTTTTTGGTCTTTCCTTTGACAAAGTTGCACTCTTAAGGCTAACTTTTTTAAACATTAGTATGCTATTTTGATACTATTACTTTTTACGTACGACGTGCATGAATTACAAGAAAAATTGTCGTGTTACAGAGATAAGGATGATTAGGTATTAAGATGTCTGATGAAATTCGGATCATGTGACATTCTACGCATTATCCAAACTCCAAAGCTGTTGTCATTTGTTGTAAACAGTGAGCACATCCCATATGAAAGACAATTAATTGATCTATATCCCAGATACCGGTAGGTAGCTTGCAGATTGTTCAACACCATAATTAATTGTTATGCTCAAATTTATGTGTCTTATGTGTCTTCTCTGCTTGTGTGTGTGAACGTTGGAAATGTTAAGAGCAAATGGCTTAGGCACTTGGGCAGTTGGGTACAATGTACATACATAGTAAAAGAGAATTTCTAAATATAGTAACGCGCTAGTCAGTAAACCAGCCAATCGGTAACTAAAATGAACCTAATCGATAAAAAACTTTGTTGTGCGTATATGAACCCCAATTTGACGCCGAAATTCCATCACACAGTTCTATTCTCAATGCACGAGAAAGCTTGTACATAGGCAAGATGGCCGAGTTGGTTATGGCGTGAGGTTAAGGTCCCATCCTTAACATCCTATCTAGGTATCCTCATGGAGCAATCCGCGTGGGTTCAAGTCCCACTCTTGTCACTTTTTGCATATTTTGCATATCTTGTGCACTTATACATTTTTGCATTTGATGTCTCCAGATCTGTAGATCCGTTAGGTATTCATTCTGTTCATTGTAAACCTTAACAGTTACTTCAGTTAGCAGACTTATTCTTTAGAGCTTTTGAATCTTCACGTCTTTCTCGGTCTTTGTAAAACTCCTAATCAACATAGATGCAAACGACTTGAATTATTACAATTTTCAATTGCTTTGTAAGATGTTTATATTTGCTACTTAGGCAGGTCATTCAATCATCATCGAGATGTTCTACTGCAGCTCTTCGTTGTCGTGTCCGAATTCTTTGCTTAGAAGTCATTGACTGGTATTTTTTCTCATTGATAGATGAGGTTGATCTCATCATGATTTCGTTCGATACTTGAAATACCTTCACACATCGATCCTGAAGCCTTTTAGTAAGTTGGTCTCGTCTTTAATGTGATTTCTGCCGGATTGTTCATGAGCAACAATACAGTTGGTGAATTGAAAGAAGGCAACTTCCACATTTCAAGGCTCTCCATATGTACCTAGAGCCCCATAAGGTGCGCTGGCTGTTGCCCCGCATTCACCAACACTAGGGCCCTGTTCCATTGGGTCAGCCTTAAGGTTAGGTACCATAGCTGCCTAGAACCTTGGAAAGCGGTACCTACCCTGATCTGCCTGATCTAGGAAGGTACATACAGATTACTGAAACGGTTTTATTCAGCCTCAGCTGAAGACTTTCCCTGAAACATCTTCTTTCCCAACTGCCTACCTAGGTACTTAAGGCGGGCACATGTCTTTAGTCAAGGGCAATACTCATTTATCGACACCTTTCCTTTAACATCAATTACCTCTTAATTCTAAACCCCTCCATACCTAGGTCATTTTCATGAACAATGGGCAAGCCTTCGAGCCCGTCGGCCAGCAAGGCAACGACCGATTCCGTATCTATGCGAACGAACCCAGGCGAAAGTTCGAGAGAGAATTACAACAACAGCAATGATTTCGACATTCCCGAGATTTCCGTCGATGATTTACCACCAAACTATAGCGAAGCCGCATCGTTGCTCCCACCAACCCTTGCGCCACCGACTGGCGTCCCAGCCGTAGCTACGAAACCAGTGGTGGAAGATGCCACATGCTTCGAGAACACCGGTGGCCAATTTTGGATAGCGAAGAGTCTTGAACACCCTGCCAGACTCGAATCACACATTCGACAGCTTGCTATTACCCCTCCACGCCCCTACATCAACCTGGTTGGGACACATACTGAGTCAAAAAGGAATGGCAAGGGAAAGACGGAGAGCACCACCGTCGTAGACTTCGACGTATCGGTCGAGCTCACGCCATACTTATACTCAGATGCCCAGTACCGCAAATCATGGTTTAATCTGCGGACCGTGGAGAATGGCGAGAAGGCAAAACGTGGTACAATTCTTAAGCAACGTGCGCCGGGTTTGAATCAGAACATCGAGCTTGGTGAAACCCCGAAGCCGACCCTACAGGAGTGGTGTCATCGATACGGCGCCAGCCACGCAGGCTTGAAGGTCTTTGCGCTTCAAAGGAGAATGGTGGGATTCGACGAGGAATACATCAAGAAATTACTACGAACTATGGTGAACAATACAAACTACCGTGGCCATCTGAAGGTGGAACTTGTCACTAAAAGTTCATTGGTCGAGTGCTACAACGAGGCAAAGATAAATCATTGGCGCCTTACGAAGTGGATCCAAACGCTGTTCATGCTTACCCTCCTGTTTATATTCACTTGGCCTTACCTCTGGCTACGCACGAAGAGGTGGGAGGTTGTTATTGCGGAATGGCCCTTCTCGAGGATGGCCGAGGGCGGCGGCAGGGAGTACGTAAGCATCAGCGAAGAACAATGGTATAACTTATGGGCGCGCCCCATCTACAAGGCCGTGATTGAGAGACGACAGGCGGTGTTGGATCAGTCGGACCTAAGACGAGCGCAAGATCCCGAACCGGCGTTTGATACTGGCAATTCGACCGTCGATGGAACTCTGGGTCTGTTCAGAGCCAGTGTCAACGCTATGAATGAGGTGAACCGTCATTTAGGTTGGGGTGAAGACTGCTAGAAACATTCTCCTAAAGTACTACATCATCGGAACTACCTACGCGAAAGTATCATTTACGGCATCGTTTTCTTGGGCTTTGGATTCTTATTAATCAAAACACCTTTGTGGATCAAAGTGTCAATCATCATCATGATCATCGGTGCTCGATGTGTCGTGGCTATATTTGGACAATATATTTGGTAATAATGATAGGAACCATCTATCTATAATGAAAACATTAATGACTCAGCATGTCGGTTAGTCATATATCCTACTTCCTGTGATTCATGATGGCCTTGTGACAGTGTGTATAAATATAAGAAGGCGACATTTTACGTGTATTCTTTTGGAACACTGATATCGGCTGTCTTGTTCGAGACTACGCTACTGTTAACATGGACATGGCCTCATTCGTGTTGCACTCATTGGCCTCTCTTTGTTAGCAAAAACATCACATGTGGTGGAGGATCACTTGACATAGCTTCTATCTCTGCGAGGGTGCTCTTACTACATGATTGTAATTCTGCTTAATTCAAGTGTCGCTGCGGAGGCAGCCCGGGGGCATTACGCACCCCCCTCGACCATGAAGGCTTACGGCGATCCGCACGACTTAGCCTCAGACACAAATGTTGACCTTGCCATATTTTGTACCCAAGTAAATATACATAGTGCCACAACAAGATCAGATGTAAGCGCGGGGGAAGCCATTTGCAAACATATACTCAAATCTGTACGGATTTGCTAAGTGTTGAGTAGCAATATTCGATGCAAACACGTTGTCGGAAGGTCTATCCTACTTTGCTGATCATTATGTAATCGACTGTATACGTAAGTCCTGTGGTGTTCGCATATTTCCAGAATCGGATACAGATTCAATGGCTGGTAATCAAGATTATGATCAAGGACAGATCTCAGATCGAGGAAAGGCAGTCTGACGTGGTATCTCTCTTGCCAATCCACGGAAAATTAGTAAGGGGAAAGCAGATATTGTAGAGAATGCCACGTTATCTTTCACTTATAGGAGTGGACTGCAATTCAAGGGGACGCCAGGTTTCGTATGGACTATTAACAGCTAGCTAGGTGACATTATGATAACTGCTAACGGGGTGCATCTTCCTTCGGATTCTGACAAAGACCCGATCGAAATCAAGATCTACGATCATATTGTGGATGAGGTAGTCAGTGTGGATTGGGGCGGTAAAGGCTGGCAAAAGAGCTCCCATATCTTCCTCGAGTCGTGATAGACTTGTATGAAACATATGCGTATTGGTGGAAGAATGGTAAGCCGGCTGTCGATATTCCCGAGGACCTGGACTGGCCCCGTTTCCACGACAGTCCCGTGAGGATGGAGGGATTGGATGAGCTCCTCAAGCAGCATGATGCGTAGAACGGAGTATAAACAGGATACCTATAATTGGGGGTATCTCGTGGGTTCAGGCCCAATTCCTATTGATATTACTGGTATTTTGCTGTGATCTCTTTCTGATAACAACTCACACCGACAGGACCTCAGTCCTGCCTCTGCTACATCCCGAACACCCGTTATCTATTCACAGTTTGGATAAGGTGGACAAAGTTCGGGGTACCGGAACTCTCATATCCTGGATACTTCAGCTCTGTCTTAAATGAGCCTCCAGATACCATATCCTAATCCCAGCTCCGGTATCAGAAAGTCGGGTTCGATTCCCATTTGTGTTGTTTGGTAGGTGTATCACTCTGTGTCCCTTATCTAGATAGAGCGGGACCAGCAAGCTATTTATGGCAATCCTTGTGTTTAAAACTTGACATAGCATAGCTGATTTAACTATCAGCTTTAGTGGTTCCGTCGAACAAATATATGATCGACTATTGGATGTCTTTGACTTGGTATCTACATGGTAATCGGTTTTACCCTTTCATCTTGAGGGTAGATGACGAATCTGGTTCCATGCGATTTCGGTTCCAAGGATCTCTACGTCACACTTAATCCGTCTTGCCAACCGGGACCTTTGCACAACTAATTTCTACTATGTATAACTTCCGAGGTCGTGTTTGTGATGTATTAGTCCAAATATGAAACAAGATCATCCTTAGCGCTTTTCTAAAAGTTGTTGACCGAATCCAGACAGTCTAGAATAAAAGTCCTGAGAGTCTCGAAGTTCTGAAATGAATATTTGCCACTAATGCAGCAACTTATCTAGGAGTACCTAGTAAAAAATACTATGGGATGTATGCACCATGAAAATAGATTTTCAGCATCCTCATTTAATAACCCAAGTGGTTAATTTATATCGACCAGACTGTTCAGACTGTCCAGACTGCCAGACTGACTAAGATCCTTGGACCGAAGAAAAGTCGGGGCTTAGCGGGCCTCGGCCCCGGCGCCGTCAAGTTTTGAAGGCGGAAGCGTATTAAATCATTACACGCCATTGGTCGCCATAGCCGTTGAAGTAGGGCCGAGAGAAAAAGTCCATAATTAAGTACTCGTTAATTATTTTACACAGTAAGGATGAAGAGTCCTCAAAGTCATTGAAACGGTAAGGTGAATTATTTGATGTTTTTCTTAAAGATTACACAGCATAAGACTTTAGATTAAATTTATAAACTTATTAAACAATGTTTGCAATAAATGTTCTAATAGTCACTTTGTTATCTTGCAATTCGCGTGGGTTTTGGAAGTGGTAACTTTCACCGAGCTCTTATCTCTACGTAACACAGAATGGAACAAGGATGTCTATCAGGAACGCGGCGTCCCCGTCATTTGCACGTGTACCACTAACCGCTATAAGGCAGGTTATCTAGAAGTTTACAGGGATCAATTACTTAGGTAAAAAGTTAGCTTACACGAAGGCGCGGGCGACTCCTTCAGCTATGATATCAGCCCGCAGTTTTTTATTCCTTAAGCAGTCGCGATTATTTACGACTCTTTCCCGTTCGTTTTCTTATTT